AAAAACTTGACAAGAGCTTCTTTAAACTTGATGTTTTTCAAATCTTTCGCAAAATCTGCTGTTCTCGTTTGTTGAGGGCCGGAGATGTAGAAATCCTTGTCATCCACACTACCTCGAAGAGTGTGCTCATAATCATTGATAGAAGGTGTGAAGTAGCGATCAAATACAATGGCTACTCGACTTGCTGAGTTATTAACAAGACATTGCAAAATCTTTGACACATCCCCAAAACTGCGCGGCATTTCTTTGAAAGTATTTAAAAAAAAGAAGCCATCTACAATTACAAAATCTACATTGGATGGCGGTAGTTCCATTTCTTCAATTTTTTTTCCAATTCTTTAACCAGTACCGACTTATAGTTCTGACTACTAGTTCTGACGATTTGTGCTACTTCGGCTTGTGGAAATCGGCAGATTATATTTTTTCCGTTATTCTTGAATTATTTTCTTCAAAATAAAAAAAAATTTGACCGCGCTTGAGAATGTCAAGGTGACGTTTTTTTTTTGCAAGTTTGTGACCCGCCCACTCCCTTACGTCACGCTCAAATCGTCAGATTATTGAAATGCACACTTTTCAGCATGTTATTAACCTACCTTACCTTAATCTGACGCACTCGAGTATTTCTAACGATCGATTTTTTTTTACTATTTTGATCGGTTGCCCTAGACGCGCGATCCTATATTAAGGGCTTATATATAGTGGAGGTACTCAACAGGGTGCAAGGTATCCCCCTATATGTTAATCTGTCGCGCTCGAGTAAATCAGAAAATTCCCTATTGGGCTCCCCTACTAAGAGGCATAGATTGGCGGAAGCGATAATGGTCGCGTCGCACTCTCCGGACCGAATGAGCTCGTAAGCTTTCACTATAGCTACGTCACTTGAACTACATGCAGTATCAATGTTATGCGATTGTCCAGTACACGGTCTTACATACAGGTCTGGAAACTTCAATGGTGGGGGTAGGTCGCTTAGTGAAGTTGTTTTTAAGTCATCTAATAGCCACTAGAGTCGTTGCGATCGATGTTCGCGCGGTGGCGAGGGACGCCGGAGGCCGGGGGAGATATCTGTCATATGAAATTTGGCGGAGTGGTTTTGTGTCAACTTCGTAGTCTCGACATTATGGGTTTGAATCTCCGTGCCCTTAATTTTTTTTTAAATCCTTTTACAATAATAATATGATAAATAATAATGCTTTAAATAATTAAAGACTACAAATTAATAAAATATGTATAAATATAAATATAGGACTTCCGGTTCCGGAACATAGAAGGTGACAGGTGTGAACATAGCGGAGATAAAGTGGTAGAAAAGTGCGACACAGAAAGGGTGGGAGAGAGCGAGAGTAGCGGGACGGCAAGGGATAGAGGTGTGAGACGGCGGAGGAGAAAGAGTTAAGCGGGGGCGAGATCGGTTAAAAGGTGAAAAGTGAAAAAAGTGGCTGGAACGAAGTGACAGTTGAGGCATAGACGGTAAGTAACATAGAGGGGCGACAGAACGTAGGAAAAAGGCGCGAAAGCGGGCATAGACTAGCTCAGTCATAGAAGGGAAGCTCGGATATAGAAGGAATAGTAGGACGAGCACGCAGCCATAGGATACAAAACAAGAAAGAGGGATAGGCAAATCAAGAATAGCGGATGGATAAAGAGAAGGAAATAGAATCAGAAAGTGTACAACAGGGAGATAAAGGAAAGAAGGGGGAAGGAGAAGGCGAGAAGAAAGCGAGAGGCAGACCAACGAAGGCGGAAGAGTTAGCCAAATTAAAAAGAGCGGACAGTACAGGATCGGTTAAGGAATTCTTTCAGAAGAGTGAGAAAAGGAAGAGGGAAGAAGAAGTGGAGGAAGCAGCGAATGCGGAGAAAGAAATTCTAAAAGAATTTAACGCACAAAGAAGGGTCAACAGATCACCGCCGCCCAAAATTAAAAAAGAAAAGCAGGGAAAAGAAAATATGGCGACGGAAGAATTACTGGAGAAGGTTAAAGAAATTTTGAAGAAAATGGAGGAACAAGAGGGAGAAAGAAAGAAAGATAAGGAGGAACAAGAGAAAGAAAGAAAAAGAGATAAAAAGGAAATAAAAAACGAAATTAAAGGACTGAGGGAGGAATTGAGGAGAAGCGAGGAGATATGGGAAAATCAAAGAAAGACTCTGGAAGAAAGGATTAAGAATTTAGAGGAGAAGGCGGAGAAGATAGAAGTAAACATGGCAATGAGTAAGGGAGGGGAGATAATAAAGAAAATGAAAGAGATAGAAAGAAACATGGAGATGGCAGAAAGAAGAAGGAGGAAAGTAAACATAATTGTAAGAGAAGAGAAAACAGGAAATGAAAAGGAAAGAAAAGAAAAAACCGAGAAGTTGATAGAAGAAATAAATAGATCAAAAATGGCCGTCGAGGAAGTACAAGAAATTGGACATGGAGAATTTAAGATGAAGGTACTGAGATGCAGAAATTGGGAAAACAAACGAGAGATAATGATGAGAAAAAAGAGCTAGGAAAGAAGTATGGCTGTTTTCTGAATGACGACCTTACTAAAGAAGAAAGGCAGATACAGAAAGAGTTAAGAAAGATAGCAAGGGAAAAAAGGGAGGCAGGAAAATGGGTAACGGTCGGTTACCAAAAAATATGGAAGTATAATAAGGAATGGAGATGGAACGAAAGCAAAGAAGCGCTAGAAGAAAGGGATCACTTTCGCAGATAAGAAAGAAAAGAAGAAGGATAAAGAAGGGTTAAGCATGATGAACGAGAGAAGGAGGGAAGAGATACAAGAAAGAAGACAGGAAAGGTCTAAGGAGATAGAAGAAAGGCGGAACACACCAGAAGAAACCAGAAAGGACGAAGAAAGTATAAAGGAGGTAGATGAGGAAAATATTAGAGGAAACGGTATAAGGGAAGTCGAGGGACAAGAGAAAAGATATATAGGAGAAGAGGAAAGAAACGACGGGGAGAGTGAAGAGACATGGAAAGTGGCCTTTTGGAACGTAGCTGGTTTATCAAACAAGGATAAGGACTTCTGGGAAGGGATAAAGGAATGGGATGTGATTGTGATGATGGAGACTTGGACTGATGAGAAAGGATGGGAGAAGGTGAAGGAGAAGCTACCGAGAGAATATAGATGGAGAGTACAAATAGCAGCCAGGAGGAACAAGAAAGGCAGAGCGTGCAGAGGCATGTTGCTAGGAATAAGGAAAAGCATAGAAGAGATAAAGGAAAGAAGGGATACGGAGGAAGAAGGAAAAATCGAAGGAAAAATAAGAATAGGAGAGGAAGTATGGAGAATAATAGGAATCTATGTAAACAACAATATAGACGAGAAACTAGAAGGCCTGAAGGAAAGGACGGAGAAGGGGGAAAAAGGAGTAAGGACCATAATAGGAGGTGACTTTAACGCGAGAACGGGAGAGGAAGGAGGATGGGAAGAGGAAATCGAGCGAAGAGAGGAAAGAGGGAGGAAGTCCAAAGATAAGAAGATAAATAAAGAAGGCAGGAAGTTACTGGAGTTTATCGAGGAGAGAGGATGTATGATATTGAATGGAGGCACGAAGGGGGACGAGGAGGGAGAATATACATACACAGGGGGAAGAGGTGAAATAGTCATAGATTACATAATAGGGGACGAGGAGGTTAGAGAAAAGGTGGAAAGACTGGAAGTAGGAGAAAGGATAGATTCGGACCATCATCCATTAATACTATAGGTGAGGGAAAGCTCAAAGAGAAGGCAAAGGAGGAGAGGAACAAAAAAAATGAAAAGAAGGGGAGTATGGAATGATGAAGGAAAGACGAAATTTAGGGAGAAGTTAGGCGCGATTGGAGGAAAAAAAGACCTGCAAGAGGAAATAGAGGAAGGAACAAGGAAGATAAGAAGAGTGATTGAGGAGAACGAGGACAAGAATGAAAGAATGACTATCAAGAACAAAAGAGGGTGGTGGGACGAGGAATGTACGGAGAGCAAGAGGGAAGTGAGGAAAGAACTAAGGAAATGGAGAAAAGGGAAAGGAGAGGCAGAAAGATACAGAGAAAGAAGGAAAGAATATAGGGAAATGTGTGATAGAAAGAAGAAGGAGGAGAAAGAAAGAATGATTAGAGAGATTGGAGAAGCGAAAACGGAGGGAAAGGTATGGGAGTTGATAGGCAAAGTAAGGAAGAGAAGAAGAAGGGTGAATGAAGAGATAAAGCCAGAAGAGTGGAAGGAGTATTTCATGGATCTGATGGGTGGAGTGGAGAACAGAGTGGTAAAGGGAGAGGGAGACAGAAGCAGACAGGAGGAAGAAGAGATAGGATTAGAAGAGATAAGAAACGTAATAAAGAAGCTAAAGACGGGAAAAGCAATAGGCAATGACGAGATACCTAACGAGGCATGGAAGTACGGAGGAGAGGAAATGGTGAAATGGATATGGGAGGTATGCAAACGTGTCTGGAGAGGTGAAGGCTGGCCGGAACAATGGAAGGAAGGGGAAATAGTCCCATTAGTTAAAAAAGGAGAAGGGCGAGAGGTGAAGGACTATAGAGAAATAACCATCATGTCACCGATGTACAAAATCTACACGGCGGTACTGGCGGAAAGAATAAAAGAAAAAGTAGAAACGAAGAAATTGATCCCCGATAATCAAACGGGATTCAGGAAAGGAATGGGAACGATGGATCAAATATTCGCTTTGAATTACCTGGTGAACAGACAAATAGGAAAAGAGAAAGGAAAGATGACGGTGTTTTTTGTGGATCTGAAGGCTGCCTTCGACTCAGTGGACAAAAGAGTATTAATCAAGGCAATGAGAGAAAGAGGAGTGAGACAAGGACTGATAGACAGAGTAGAGGAAGTATTGAGGGAAACAAAGAGCAAAGTAGGGAAAGGAGGAGAGAGTAGTGGTCAATTTTGGACGGCGAAAGGCCTGAGACAGGGATGCCCACTAAGCCCAATATTATTCAACCTATTAATCGCAGACATAGAGGATCATATAAAAAAAGGCGGATGGGGAGGAGTGAAATTAAGAGGTGAGAAAATATACACGCTAATGTATGCAGATGATATTGCACTGCTGGCAGAGGAGGAGCAGGACATGAGATCAATGATAAGTAGGTTAGAAGAATATCTAGACAGAAAAGGGCTAACTCTGAGTATAGAGAAGTCGAAGGTAATGAGATTCAGAAAGGGAGGAGGAAGGAAGAAGAAGTACGACTGGAGGTGGAAAGGAAAAAAATTAGAAGAGGTTAAAGAATTCAAGTATTTAGGGTATACGATGAAGGAGAATGGAGGGCAGGAGGCGCATATCAGAGAGAGAAGAAGGAAGGCAGCAAGAGTAATGAGGGAAGTATGGGGGATAGGGAAGAGGATGTGGAAAAAGGACTGCAAAAGAAGGATCTGGCTATACGACACACTGATATGGACAGTGATGGGATACGGGGCAGAAGTATGGGGATGGAAGGAGGGGAGGAAGGTAGAAGGTATTCACGAGAGATATCTCAGATGGGTACTTGGAGTAAACTGGAGGACGCCGGGATATATGGTCAGAGACGAGCTAGAAAAAGAGATGAGAAGTAGAGCAAACAAGAGAACATGGAAATTTGAAAGAAAATTGGAAGAAGGTAGAGGAGGAAAGATAGCGAGAAAGTGTTTGGAAGAAATGAAAGAGAGATGGAAGAGAGGAAAGGTAATAGGGAGATGGGAGCAGGAGAGAAAAGATTACTTGGAAGGAATAGGAGTAGAAATGGTAGGAGGAGAGGAGTTGGAGGAGGAGGAATTGGAAAAGAAGGAGAGAGATAAGGAAAGACAAGAAAGGATGGAAAATATCGTAGGATCGAAGTACAATAGATGGCATAAGAGCATAAGGAAGGACGGGATCCCAAACTATCTAATGAAGGGATGGGAGGAAGCAAGATGGAACAGGATTGCAAGATTCAGACTGGGTAACGAAGTGAGGGAAGGACTATACTGGGAAAATGAGGAGGACAAAAAATGCAGGATGTGTGGGAAGGAAGAGGAAACATGGGAGCATGTATGAAAGGAGTGTACGAGATGGGTGGAACAGGAAGGAGAGGGGTGGCAGGATGTGGCAGAGAGATTACTAGGAGAAAAAGGAGAGGGAAAAGAATGGATGAAAGCAATAGAGGAAATGAGACGAGATGGAGGAGGGAGGAAAGTGAGAGGGGAGGAAGGGTAAGCCAACAACTCAACGAAAGAGGATCAAGAAAGACGAGACAACAAAAAGGATCGAAGAGGAACATGTTTATAATAAATTATATGTATTTTAATTGTATGTAAATTGTTGTAAACTGGATGTACAGGGTTGGGTACGTCCCTACAAAACGCCCTTTTAGACCCCTTGGGGTAATAAAGTATCTTATCTAATCTAATCTAAATGTATAAATATAAATATAAATATAAATAAATATATAAAAATAAATATAAATATAAAATAAATACGTATGGGCGCTGCTACTTTCCTTCAGAGCGGTAATCTATCTTAGTCAGCTATGCTTATTCTAACTTAGTCAGCTACTGGGTGCGTGTGTAGGAATCGCCCAGGTTAGGTGAATCGCAAAGGAGGGAAGAGATATGTAGGCGACACAAAATATATGTTTACATACTATATTTACAC